CGTATCGAGGTATGTATCGTATCGAGGTGTGTATCATATCGAGGTGTGTATCGTATCGGCAACTTCTTAATGATACCCAGCCTTAATTACTTCACCGTAATAAATACATTCGGGTAAATTTGTGTAGTAACTGTTCAACAACAATCTTGGTTAAAGGTCCTGTACTGTATTACACAAAATTGACTCTTGTGAGCTTGCTTTGCCCTGGATGTTCCGCAGTATAGCTTTAAACATCTATTCATAATTTATCTATTCAATTACAGGTGTTCTTATTTCTAAAACCTGCAGTAAAACATGAATTATAACTGTGAATGAGCCCACTTCTCCACAGATCTGACCTATAACGTGGTCTTGTGATGTGGCATTTCAGGAAAAAAACAGTAACATCTACCAGAAAACTTACACAGTGCACCTTTAAGCCATATTATAATGTTGTTACCTCCTCAAAAACAGACCTGGAGTTGTTTCATTCATAAATGTTTGAGCTTCATTGTTTTTCTGTCAACATCTCCAATACTCCAAATGCTTTGTTCCACCTTGTCATGTCATGGAGCGAGAGTTTACAAGCAGCTACATTTTACCTTTAGTACAGTAGAGACTGGCAACTCCAGGGCTGAAATTATCCATAGATTCTAGATAAAGTGATGGAGTTTAAAGGGACAGTTCGGAATTTTGGACACAGGACCTCATTTTCTAGTGAGCCAGAGTGTTGGAGACGTGTGGAGACACTTTTTTAAATATTCCATCCAGTCCTTGTATTTGCAGAGGTCGCTGGTGTTAGTCTAGTGCATGTCAATGGCCATAGTTATCCTGCCACTAAAAACAGACTTACCCACTTCCACAAAACATCCGAAACAAATCTATTATTACACCAGACTGTCCATGTTAATGTCTGTATTGATAGAATAATGTTTGAAATAAAACTAACCTTGTATCACATGAATCGTCGCATGTTGAGGGACTATTTTCTCATATATCAGTCCGCTGCTGCCGAGCTTTCTATCAGGAAGAACAACTTGCTGCTGCTGCTCAGACATAAATCCTTCAAATGCAAGCTTGGTTTTACTTCTAAAATTATTCTATCCACACAGACATTTACATCGACAGTCTCGTGTAATAATAGATTTTCTTCGGGTGTTTTGTGGAGTGGGTAAGACTGTTTTTAGTGGCAGGATAACTATGACCATTGACATGCACTAGTCTAACACCAGCGACCTCTGCAAATACAAGGACTAGAAGGAATATTTTTAAAAAGTGTCTCCACACGTCTCCAACACTCTGGCTCACGAGGAAAGCCCACATTAGACATATAAAAACAAAAATTTCTAAAAGTCTTGCTATCGTAAACAAAGTGAAATATGACCTTGATCAAAATGCCCTTCGTATATTATACTGTTCATTGGTTCTCCCTTATTTCACATACTGTGTTGAAGTGTGGGGGAAACACTTACCAATGTACACTTCATCCATTGATCATATTACAGAAACGAGCTTTGCGAATCATCCATAAAGTTGTTTTTTTTTAACACACCCACAATCTTTTTATTCAATCCAAGCTCCTCAAAATTCCTGAACTTGTACAATATTATACACTGGTCATTTTATTCAGAGCATGCAATAATTTACTACCACGTAATATTCAAAGCTTAATCAAAATGAGAGAGAGAACTTATAATTTTAGAGGGTATGGAAATTTCAAATTGCCTAATGTACGAACTACTCGTAAAAGTGTCTGTGTGTCTGTATGTGGTGTAAAACTCTGGAACAGACTGGATACACGTCTCAAGCAATGCCAAAATATCCATAAATTCAAGTTGTTATATAAACATATGGTTTGGTCACAGTATATGGAGAGTGGATCATAATATTAGAACAATACTGCCTCTGTAGCGCTGGTTTATGTTTGTTGTTTTCTTACCATTGCTGGTTTGTTCTGTCCGTTACATTACTTGTATTTGTTGTTTCTTACCATTGTCTGGATCCTTAACTTTACCATTGTTGATGCACTTATGTTATACGACCAAACTATAACAGTGACTCTTTGTCTGCACTTGTAAATAGTTCATATAGTTTAATTCAAAATGTCTGAAAAACGCAAAAAAAAAAGATCATTGTGTTAGATTATGAAGAGTAGGGGTGGGATTAAATAAGTTTTCTTCTTCCCACTCCTTTTTGGGCAAAATAGCAATAATAAAAGTTATTAGTAGTTGTTGTTATTTTCATTTCTATTATGATTTCACTTATGTCATATGTTCCATTGTATATAAATGTAAATCTTTACTTGCCCAAAATAAATGCATTAAAAAAAAAGAAAAAAAAAAAAAGAAAGAAGTTAGGTCCTATGTCCAAAATTTCTGACTCTCCTTTTAAAAACCTTGTATTACCACATAACATCCAGTTTAAGACAAGAACTCAGCCTGAATTTGTGTGTTAAACATGTGTGAATGAAACAAAACTCCAGGTCTGTTTGTGATGAGGAAACAACATTATAACAGATCAGAAAATAGCGTAATATTTTCAACGTTGTAAAGTAACTGTTTACAAGAAATACAAATTAGGGTTACAAGCTTAATCGCAATCAAATCAAAAGTTAATTCCATATAGAGTGGAGTCATTAAACACTTTAATTTCCTCTGTAATCAGCCAAATATTCAACTTTCATGCGGTTTCATTCTGTGTAAAAGCTGCAAACGTACAAACATGTTCTGAAATACACGGGATTCTCGTGTTAGTTTCCCAGTTCATATTTCAGTCGTCTCTCAAATGTCAATGCTCCTGGACACATCAGAACTGTGCACTCTGAACACAATATTGATTTTTGTAAAAGGAAAAACCTCCCCAAATGCGATTGCGATGTAATAGGCTTGACAAATTGTGATAAAATTTATTCCCTAATGTAACTTGTTGGTGTTATTTATTACATATATTAGTTTATATAAAGGTCTCTGCTCAGCCCCTGGACAGTGATAATCAGATTTCAGGCCCGTCACAGAAACATAAATTCGCCTCCATTCAGCTTCAGGTAATTTAAAGCTGTATTGTGTAACTTTTCGAGTGGAGGGTTTCTAATATGGTAAAAAAAAAAAAAATAAATAAACTTACACGATTGCAAATGTAAGATTATTAAAGCTGCAAATAAAAGGGAGCATTAGACTGTGTAATAAAAAATAATAAAAGGAAACACAAGCATTTTCTCAGCGGAGTTAATCATAGTTTAAAGCTGCACTGTGTAACTTTTCTGGTGGAAGGTTTGTCTGCTTTGTCTGAAAAGTTTCACAGTATGGTATTAAACCTTTCTATCTCCACGGAGACCAAACCTGACCAAGTTACAGGCCAGATCTGTAGAGAGGCGACCCCGCTCACTGTCAGAATGTTGTTTTTCTAGATATTTCTGAGCCATAAATCCACCTGTAATTGGATAAATGTAAAGTAGTTTAATGTCACACTGTGGAACATTCCAAGGAGCACTGTAAAAATGAAATCTAGCCAAGTTAAAATGACTTGAATTAAGAAAGTTTTATCGAGTAAAATGATCTGCCAGTGGAATAAGACTTTTTGTACTTTAATATGAAAATACATCTTGCTACACTGAGATAAGAAAAACAACAACCCTTTGCACTTAAAATAAGAAATAAACTGTAATGTTGTTTGAATTAAGAAAACCATTTTTATTCCACTGGTAGATAATTTTACTTGTCAAGCTAAATCTACTCAAATAAAGTAAAATGTCCTTAATTTAAAGGTGCATTTTCTTCTGGTGGAGGGTCGGTCAAATCTTATTCCGTCTTATTTTTCTATTTTATTTTGACTTGCACATATACATTTATGTCTTGTTTAACACTTGTCTCTTGCTGTCTTTTTTGCTACTTATATAGAATTTATTATTGCCATTTATATTTTTGCTCTTTGTTATGTTATTATATTATATTGTGATGTTTAAGCTACTGTGTTCAGCTAATTTCCCTTGTGGATCATCTATGTCTAAATGCTTTTTGCCATGGAGATGTTATTGCTTTGTCAGGAATGTTTCACAGTATGGCATTAAAACTTTCTATCTCTATAGAAACCAAACCAGACTTAGGATACGTTTACACTGAAACGAATCTCTCTATCACTGTATCACTGTATTTGAAACGATTTGCGTCCAGACATGTCGTTTTTGTGTCCGCAATCCTTCCCTATCCACACAGATTTGCGCATATTTGTTTACGTTTTACAGAAACTCAACTTAAAACCACATGGCTAATTTGCATAAATTAAGGGCTCAAAAAAACAGCTCGCTCCTTGTGCGCTGATGTGGTTCAGCTTCTGTCGGACTAAAGGACACGACTCAGTGGAATATGAGTGTTCTTTCTGTGACAGAGGGGTGTTCTGCTGACCGTGTCTGAAGTTGCAGAAGCCGATTTTGAGCCGAGGAAATGGCAAGTGTCTTTTTCGTGGACTGTGTACTGGCAAGTCGTTCTAGCTTCGCTGTTTCCCGTTTGTCTCTGGTTTGTTTAAACTGTTTTCCACAATAGTGTCACATGACCGATGTCACAAACCCAGTGAATCAGGAAGGCAAAAGTCACAGTGACGTGGTCCAATAAGAACGACAACTAGAGCTTCTACATCAGAGTATCAGCGTTTTCAGGCGTTCACACAGTGCCAGATCAGATCCGTGAATTCGTGAGAGCTGGCGGCACTAGATCTTTCTGTCTCTGGAGGCATTTTCCAACATTGCCTCTGCAACAAAAAAACAACTTGAAAACGTACTAGTGTGGATGGGGCCCAAGTTACAGGTCAGATCTGCGGAGAGGCAATCCCGCTCAGTCAGAATGCCTGTTTTTCTAGGTATTTCTGAGCCATAAAACCACCTGTAATTTAAAAATATATATATAAGTATAGCTGTTTATTGTCATACTGTGGAACATTCCAGGCAGAGCAGTGGCATATCCACAGAAACAAGCAGGTGATGGACTGCCAAGCAAAAAGTTACACAGTGCTTCTTTATCTCTACAAACCGTTTATGGTTTTGGGGGCACCTCCTCGAGCCTTCACTGCGCGCTCGCCTCTTTGTAACCGCTGATAAGGGCAGGAGGCCATCTTGATTTATCTTCTGCTGTGAGAGACGTGTCCACTCTCTCTGTTTTGGTCTTTGGCTCCGGCTCCATTGTCAATGCCAGCTCCCTCTGCCAAGGCTACTTTTTACAGCCTGCTTTCGCTCCATCAATGATTCACAAAATACGTGTTATGAAAAATGATCAGCGGCTGCGGATTCAAGCCAGCGTAATGTTTAATCTGTTTTTGTCTGGATGCAGATAGACCGCGTTGCGTTTTTTCCATCACAAGTATTAATTTTGCAGACGCTCGGATATCAACTTATTTATTATCCCAGCTTTGATTCATTCGTTTCCCCCAGCGAGACGCATCTAATATTGATAGTATAATGATTAAGTTCCTCTCAATCCATTTAAAGTAATACAAAATGGATCCTTTCGCCACCGTTTTGGCCACATCTTTCTCTATCTCTTTCCCCCATCCTCTGCCTCTCCCGTGCTGGTCATTTACTCTGCCATTGGGGCCAGTGGCAGGTAAGATAAATTGGCTCCAGCTTTCATATTAACACAACAGGCTCTAGCTGGTCACGTTTAGTGCTGTGACCTCCAGTTCTTGAACAGACTATCCAAGAGCTATCCATCTCTACACTGCGATTGGAAAACCCCTCTGCTTCTAAACATCAGCATTTTCTATCTTCTCCAAATGAAAACCGTATTGACCGGTCAGGTTTATGCGGCTGTGCTCGGTCTGGCCAGTGAGAAGAAGTAAGTCAAATATAATGTGTCTTGTATTGAGAATATTTCATGTTTTACACCGTTGAAACGTTGGATGAGTCGAACGGGTCCCAGGTTCAGTTAAAAAATAAATAAATAAATAATAATAATAATAGAAAACAAGGCTCAGTACCAAGTGTCAGGGCAGTGTGAAGAGAGTAACACCCCTCAGGACAAAAGAGCCTCTCCTGCCTGACCTGCAGCTGTATAGCAAAGTTGTAGAGGCAGGTGATACCTCTCAGCCAAGTTATAGGTCAGATCTATGGAGAGGTGACCCCAGCAATAGCAGTAAAAGCACTTCATATTTAATCAATACAAGATATTTAACATTAACGTCATACTGAGTAATATTCCTCGCAAAGCTATTACATTTCCATGGACGCAAACAGGTGGCAGACTCTCCTTATTAGCATTTTCTATCTTCTCTAAATGTCTTCTTCGGGAATGGTGGATGAGTGGTTAGCATTTTTGCTTCACACCGAAAGGGTCCCAAATTCAGTTAAATTTTTAAAAAACATACAATGATATTTGAATGGGACATGTTCTCGTGCCACTAGATCTTGTGAGACAAAACTGACAGAAGATTGTACACATGTGAGGAAAATTATCTGGTGAGACTTTCTTTCTCACATTTTTACATTTGCACTGAATAAAAAAGGGGTTAACGTTGAGTTACTGTAATAGCAAAAAACAGTGCTACAATGACAGCAAAATTATATCATTATACAATATTTAAAAAAAGTTAAGCACAAATTTGATCAAAATCTTGTCTTGTTCTCATGACTCTCGTCTTGTAGAAATTGTGTTTCATCCTGTCCCTAATAATAATAGAAAGAAAACTTAAGCAAAGGTCAACAGGTAGAGTCCTCAGATCCAGTGTCAAGGCAATTTGAGGAGAGTAACAGCCCTCAGGACAAGAGCTCCCCTCCCCCCTGACCTGCAGATGTATAGCAAAGTTGTAGAGGCAGATAATGCCTCTCAGCCAAGTTACAGGTCAGATCTGTGGAGTTTTCTTTTCTAGAGAGGGTCTGCATCCTGTTTGTCTCCATGGAGATGTTAATGGTTTTGTTTATTAAATTATCCATTGTTTGGTATTAAACTAATCTGTCTTACATTTATTCAACTGCAGACATTACTCAAAATATCTTAAAAAACATCCAGTTTTACTATTAGGTCGTCTCTCCACAGATCTAACCAGTCATTGGGCTTGCAGATTAAGTTTAAAGCTATACTGTGGAACATTCTAGACACATCTCTATGGAGACAAGCAGGTGACAGACCCTCCACCGGACAAGTTACTCAGTGTACCTTTAAGCATTGTTTAGTCTCTGGTGTCTGCAGCTTTTCCCCAGCAGCAGTGAAGGGTCAGAAGGTCAAACACAAGATTAAACCACAGCCCTTAATAAAAGCACTGCCTCTATAGCCTGTAGTGCAGAGCTAAGATTATATTTTTACAAATGTGTGAAAATGGCTGTGCTTTATAGACTTTAAATTGCAGGATGCCCTGGCAGACTTTTTCATTTGTGGGGACAGACTACAGTCCTGTGTACTGCAGCAAAAGTCTCATTTTTAGATAACAGACACAGCATTACACCGGAGAAAAGTTGACCTTCTTGCTGAAGTTAATACATTTTTATGTCAACATTTTGCTTATTCTGGCTTTTTGTATCTTATTTGAAAATTATGCAATTCCTGCACAGCTGATTCCTGCTGGCAGCCACCAAAATGGGCCCATCTGGGGTCCTAACCCAGAGTCATTAAGCGGCTCAGAGTGTTCAGCAGACAGACCATCCATCAGTCACTACAGACCAAATGAAGTCTGTCCATCCACAGATTACAACACGTTTTAAGAGCTTTACACACAGACCCTCTCTCTCTCTCTTTCTCTCCCTCCCTTTCTCTCTCTTTATCTCTTTGTAAAATAAATGCCTGCACTTGTTGTAAATCTTGACTGGTTAACTTTGACCAGTTTAAATTTATAATGCTGGCACCACCTAGTGCCTCCACTCAATTTCATTTCTCTCCAGCAACTAGGTCAGGAATCTAAATAAAGTAGACGTTTCGCAAAAACCCTGGAAGTGCGAGTTCACTCACCAGCCAATCAGTGAAGAGCCACATATTCAGTGTTGTCAACGACTCCCGAGATCGAAGATTTAAAGCCGAAACAGAGAGAATGTTTGGTGAATTTTATCAAGGGGAAAGACGTTATTGCCCTTCTTCCTACGGGATTTGGGAAAAGCTTAATATACCAGTTAGCCCCTTTAGCGGTGCATTACATACATGACCAAATAGCAGTGATTGGTTAAATGATAAAAAGAACCGCCTACTGTCGAGCGAACGAATCCTAACACTGCAAAGTCCAACGGTTTGTACGTTTGTTTATGTATATATATGTTGTTTACATATTTATAACTAGTTTCAATGTTTTCATACATTCATATAAGCAATTTTATATAAGCAGTTTGTAAATCATAAACAAAGTCTTAATTCTTAATGGACAAATAGTTTCTTTAGAATGACTTAGGCTCAGTAACTGGGTTTAAGAGGGTTTTAACTGAGTATATAACTACACTTATTTATTAAGTGTTACTGTTTTGTTTTTTCTTTTCTTTTTTTTTTTGTTCAGAGCTTCAGCAAATTAATACTTATTTCAGTGTTTTCTGACGATCCTGACGTCATTTTGCGTCATTGTGCAGTTTATTTAAAAAATCAATCAATCAATATCACTTTATTTGTCCCTGAGCGGCACTTTAAACACTGAGCAGTAAAAAACAATCGAACATTATTTTCCAAAGACCCTCAGATGGGTCGCAAGAGAATACTAATGGTTCAGAGAGACACGATCAAAGGTCAACAATAAAATATCCTCATTAATGTTCAATAATGATCACAGATTTATTTTGTGATGTACGAATAATGTCTATTGACTTGGGTCGCGAAGATTTGTGACTTTTAAAATATGGGTCCTCAGAAAAAAGTTTGGGAAATGCAATAGAAAACTCAAAACAAATATCATCAGAGCCAGTGTGAGGAGTTTGAGGAGAGTAACATCCCTCAGGACAAAAGCCCCCCCCCTCTATCCTGCAGCTGTATTGCAAAGTTGTAGAGCCAAATTACAGGTCAGCTCTGTGGAGAGGCGACCCCACTTACAGTAAAAATGCATCTAAAATTTAATCAAGGCAAGATTTTAGTTTGGTATACTGTTTAAAATTCAATGCAAACCTATTACGTATCAGGTGGCAGACTCGACTTACCAGAAAGTTACGTAGTGCAGCTTTAAATCCAATACTTACTCACTTATTACTTTGACTAAATTCATTGTTGTGTTGTTGTTGTTTTTTTGAGAGTTGTGTCCGTTTGTACAGAGCGCTCCCACACACTCACACTCAGAGTTTATCCTCTGTCTCTCTCATTACCGCGGCCAACGTGATTTGTTCTGAAGGCTGTGAATTACAGTCAGACAGATGGTACTGTACCGGGGATTTCCTCAGGGGACGAGAGGAGGAAGAGGAGGAGAGGAAGAGGTGGAGAAGAGAGATGGGGAGGAGGAGGAAGAGGAGGAGAAAGTGGAAGAGGAATAGAAAAAGAAAAAAACGGAGGAAGAGGAGGAGGAGAAAGAGGAGAAGGAGGACTAAGAGGAAGAGAAGGAGGAGAAGGTGGAGAAAGAAGAGGAGGAGTTGGAGGAAGAGGAATAGAAAGAGAAAAGGGAGAAAGGAGGAGGAGAAGGAGGAACAAGAGGAAGAGAAAGGAGGAGAAAAGTGAAGGAGGAAGAAGAGAAAAGAGGAGGAGGAGAAAGAAGAAGAGAAAGAGGAGCGGGAGGAGAAGGTGGAGAAAGAAGAGGAGGAGTTGGAGGAAGAGGAATAGAAAGAGAAAAGAGAGAAAGGAGGAGGAGGAGAAGGAGGAACAAGAGGAAGAGAAAGGAGGAGAAAAGTGAAGGAGGAAGAAGAGAAAGAGGAGGAGGAGGAGAAAGAGGAACAGAAAGAGGAGGAGGAGAAGGAGGAGGAGAGGAAGAGGTGGAAGAGAAGAAGAGGTGGAGAAGAGGGATGAGGGGGAGGGGGAGGAAGAGGAGGAGAAAGTGTAAGAGGAATAGAAAAAGAAAAAAATGGAGGAAGAGGAGGAGGAGAAAGAGGAGGAGGAGAAAGAGGAGCGGGAGGAGAAGGTGGAGAAAGAAGAGGAGGAGTTGGAGGAAGAGGAATAGAAAGAGAAAAGGAAGGAAGGAGGAGGAGAAGGAGGAACAAGAGGAAGAGGAAGGAGGAAGAAGAGAAAGAGGAG